CATGTTGTTTCTCTATTGGATACTTATGACTCGTGAAATCACAAGTAGCCCCTTTTTAACTTAAAAGAAAAAATATACAAACGCAACTCGTATCTCAAGTGTTGACCCACTTAAGATTTTTTTCCCCAATACTAAAAGGAAGTTGTGGATGAGTTAAAAACAAAATTAATTAATTTAATAACCGCTGCGTTGGTATTTGCACATGGGTAAGTCAAAGTAAACGCATTTTGGTATCTTATTTTATTTATTAATCGCCGCATCAAACATGATGCCGATTAATATAAATCCTGTCTGATGGTAGCTAGTCATTAACTTATAGTCATTAATATCATTCAATTAACTTCTCACATATATATGTATATCCGTCCTTTATATCCGCAAACTCACGTAACTTTAAATTTTACTCCTATGTTTCAATTACATATTATATTACTATGTACCATACAAAAGTTACTAGTTATTGCCATTTGTTTGGTAATGTTATACTAATGTATATCATCGATATTCTAGTTTTTTCGTACAGAAGCAGTAGTGGAAATTTGCCATATTGGACGACCATCTAGTTTATTTGACAACCCCAAATCTAAGTCATTTTTTTAAAAAAATGGTCCATTATCATCTCACCAATTCGTGTAATATCAAATAAAACACTCATTTAACAACAATAAAAAGTAGTATCAAATAAAATAAAAGGACTAACTTATATACGTGGCCATCAAACATTTGTACTTGCTATCTATCGCTATCACCACTATCCAATCGCAAAATTTAAAAGCACATATATTGAAATTGTAATAGTTTTACCATATAAAAAGAAACTATGTATACAGTATATATAATGGTCTGCAAATTTATTAATATATACACACATTTGCGCTATATGTTATGTCTTGTGCCTTTCAATTTTGATATTTTCAAGGTATGGAAAACGATACAGAATTGGTAGCTCAACGCCTCAACCAGTTGAACTCGGAGTCGTGGATGGGTTCAGATAATTGAATGGGTACTACTATAGGGACCCAAAATTTGTTGTATCAATTCGTGGCCTAAATACTTACAAAGCCCAACATTAAACGTTCTTCTCTCAATACACACATTCGTCTTTGGTTTTGCTGGTAAAACACTTGTATTGGCCTCCCTACATTTGTATTTCACTAACTGAACACAATTTTCATTGATTTTCTTGTTTATAGGTCCTTTTGTTTTGGTCCAATTTTTTTATTTGTTTTTAGTATCTTTTTTTTTTTTAACGTCATTTGTTTTTAGTATCTAGACAACTCTTTTTACAAGGGCTCTCTTCGTTACTAGTTAATGATCGTGCACAAAAACTATTCCCATGGAACAGTTACTGATTTATGAATTGGTATGTTCAGAATTACTTCTTTTTTTCCTGAGCCTACGTACATCAGCAGCATTATAAACCAAATTCTTAGCACAACACAAGACAATCACACAAGATAATAAAAATAAATACGAACAAATAAAACTAAAACACGTATTAAAATAATTAAAAACCTCAGCAAGATTTACAAAAAGAATATATTAAGGTCATTAAACACAATCAGATTCGGTCAAAACCTGAACCATTGTTTGCATAACTCTCACTTTCATTTCCAAAGCCAAAATATAATCCGCCGTTTGTCTAAAGAGTCCATCCAAACCTTCGGTTGATTTGGTGTGGGGAACAAGCTCCTTCAGCTTCTTGACTCGTCTATGAATCGCGCGACACGGTCTTCTAGAAGCCTTTAGACTCTTCTTCGGCCGGATCATGATCTTCTTCACAAGTGCCTTTCGAGCCCTTTGTCTTCTCATCAAAACCCAAATTGATTCATTTCTTTGCCCTTCTAATGTCACTCCCATTATTGTAAATGATGAAAGAAGGTTTTTTATTTTTCTTTTTCTGGTTACTGTTTTGAAAGACAGACAAGTGATAAGAACTCTATAAAGATCATGTAATATGATGTATATATATTAAATTTTTTGAAAGAGAATATGATGCAAATATGAGACGGCCTTAGTTTATATAGACATGGATAAAGGTTAGTGACCTTCAGATAACTTAAAATGGAGATTACAGCTTCTGAGAAGGTTCGATCTCTTTTCTATCCTAAAAAAGAGAGGTGTCCACAAGGGTGTTTTGTTTTGTGTTTTTAAATGTTGTTATTGATGGATAAATAGGTTTTCGCTTACATTTATTAGAGGACATGTCATCAAAATACAACTCGATGCACATGCACTCACATGATTCTCATCATCACCAGACTCTCCTGTACATGCTTGAAAACACCAACTTTCTTCCCATTCACATCACCATAAACACCCTGTCTTATTCCTTCTTTGCGTTGCGCTTTATAAATTCATCTTTATTTTAATTTATTTTTATTTTTTTCCGTTATGATTTTAATTTTAATTTTGCGGCCAATTTAGTTCGCGTTTACCAAATTCGGGCGGATCAACGTTAAGAATATAATTATCTTTACGCTTTATTCTTTCTAGATTAGATTCTAATCTCATTTACAAGCAATGCATGCAGTCCATGTATGAAGAAGGTTGTGAATGAAATAGATAAGTTGGTAATATATGAATAAAAAAGCAGATATCATGTTTGTGCTTTCTTTTGCTCTAATGCATTTAGCTTGAAATAATTTCCATTTTGGCAGATATCATGGTTGTCACAAGGCTCCATGTTTCTCAAAATTTCCAGCTGATATAACTCGGCGCAGCGCAACTAATGAAGGATTAAAAATAATCTAATGATGTAATTACAAAAGCACGCCCGAGTAGTTTAGAGGTGTTTTATCTTTTTAGACAAAGTAGATAACGATGTTGGGAAATGAGATAAAGTTTTAATTAAAAAAGACATAAGAACATGCGGATATCTTCAATGTTTCTTTGAACTTGTGGACTTCCTATTAAGGAATTTTGATTTCGCGAGTGGATTTGATTGAAGCATCTTAAAGATTATGTTCTTTACTCGACATGTGTTTGTGTTTTTTCGCTCTAATTTTTTGTTTTAAAGGGGAAAAAGAAAGAGAGAGAGAAGCAGAGATTCGTGGAGCGATGTTGATCAGACATCCTCGGATACTATTAGATTCAATGAATCTCTCATCGCCGTCAACACGAAACATTGTACTTAATTAATAAATCTCTCTGGCATAACGTCTCATAATCAACTAAACATATGAGAATTATCTTAGCGTTAGCATGATTGATCATCAGTGTATAGTTGATTGGTTTCAAAGTAACGTGAAAAGTACCTAACTAATTAAGGTAGGTCTAATATAAATAAACTAGCCATGATGGAAAGTTTAGTTGTCGACATTGATCGCTTGTTAGCACGTTGTATGTATATAATCTCAACGTGCATGCACATGTATTTATATCCTCCCTATTCGTCTAGCTAGGCCATCCAAATAAAGATCCCGATTAATAATTTACACTTCTCCCAAATATCTCTATTACTTAACCTAGGCCCATCTATAAGAGTGGGCTTAAAACTGGCCCGTTAACATTTACGATCTTATCCATAAACCGATTTTAATGGTTAAAACTATTAACGATCCACAATTAGGTAAAGGAAGCTCTCTCTCTCCTTTTTGCGTCGGCGAAAGGATGACGACGATTGCAATTAGAAGAAGAGTCATATTACATGTTTTGTGCGTGAATCTAATTCGAAGGCTTATTATCATATCCGATTTTGTTGTTGTTGGATTAGATTCACGCACAAACTCGTAATCTGTCTTTTCAATTTTTATAGATCTCTGTTCTATTTCAACCTGATGAATCAAATTAGTTATACGATTTTCGATGTTTGATTGCGATTCGAAATCAAGATCTACCATTCTACTTTCGGAAAGAAATGCCCTTTCTTTTTGTTTTTGGAATCTCTCGTTTTCTATTACCGATTTTGGGTGCTTACCGTGTTTGGTATGAATAGATTGGCGAGCCATGGAATATCATTAAAGTTATCATCTCTATTTATGATGTATAATCAAACTTCGTTTCTTGATTTTGTCTAGTAAGTCCATTAATGTCGTTTCTCTCAGGAATTAAATTTCTTGGTTTTTGTTTTGCTCGGATTTTTTCTTCAAAATGTTGCAAAAACAAAGTAGATAGTTAGTTACTCAGATTCTTGTTTTACGATCTTTCTTCGTCTATCAACCAAAGTAAAGCAAATGTGATTTATTTATTGAGAGATCTATCAAGGTAAGGTTTGTTTTAGCTTCTTCTATTCTTAGATGATCTACTAGTCTTTAAATACTAGTCGTCGTCTGCCCTTTTTGTGTTCAGTAGTAACATTTATAAAATCAAATAATATCTGAAGTTGCTAATTTTAGAGAGGAACTTTGACTTCAAGTACGTCTAGCATTGATGTAAAATTGTAATGCAGTTTTTAGTCAACAGATGTTCAAAATTTAGGGAAGATCTATGTCAACTATTTATAGTTAGATTTTATCATACCGTTATACTTATACGTAATTGCTCAAAAGATCAATAAGTTATTACGTTGCCTATAACTGAATAGTTGACCAAGATAAGTACCTCTCTCTCTCTTTTTTTTTTCTGCCAACGGTAACTCTTTTTGAATTTAAAGTGGGTTTGTCTATCAAAATGGAACTCTTAAAACTATTAAAATACGAGTATAAATGTTTTAGCCGAATAACACTATTTTCAAGTTAAATTTTTTTAAAACTCTATATTTTTACGAAGTAAAAGTATCACAACTAATATGCAAATAAATTAAAAAAAAAAACTAATCTCTTTGTTGATCTAATTTATCATCATAATACACAATTGTCTTGGAAAATTAGTTTAGACTCTTAAACGAAGACCTTGGCAACAAAATAGTCAATATACAACAAGAAGAGAATGGAAAGAAAATATAGTAGCATTGAATCTTACTCTGACCAAAAAAATGAACACCTTAAAATAAACATAAGATACCTAATGTCTCATTCATAATTTATCATAAAATCTTTCTAATACCAAAAAAAAAAAAAATGAAAAGGGTGATTCGTTTTTGTTATTATGATTACTACATCGCCTGTCTAATGGTGATCTTATTACTGGTGTACAAATCCGCCGCGGAGGAATATTGTTATCAACAGATAAATGGGATCTCCAGCCAAATAGCTAACACCATAACCGTCGATCTTAACGGTGGAGGAAACTACAAAACAGTTCAAAGTGCAATCGATTCAATCCCTCTTCAAAACCAAAACTGGATTCGTATTCTAATTAAAAAAGGCATTTACATGTAATGTTTGATACTTTACTATTTTCATATGATTTATCTAATCACATTTTCTTAGTAACAATTTAAATGAAGTTTTTTATGTAATGTAGAGAGAAAGTAACCATACCAATGGATAAAGGATATATCTATATGCAAGGTAGAGGAATTGAAAAGACGATAATAGCTTACGACGATCATCAACTCACCGATACTAGCCCCACTTTCACGGCCTATCCTGACAATATCATCATCTCCGGAATCACTTTTAAAGTACGTCAATGTATCAACTATAAGTCGTTAATATTAATTAGATTGATGATTATATATAATCCCTTATAATATACGAATACTGATATAATTAAAAGTTTAATTAGTGGATTTTAATTGTGTGTGTAGAATACATATAATATCGGACTAATGACCACTTTAGAAACACCAGTCAAACCAGCGGTGGCTGCGAGGATGCTCGGAGACAAATACGTAGTGATCGATTCTAGTTTTGATGGTGTTCAAGATACACTGTACGACTGTGTAGGCAGACATTACTATAAAAGATGTGTTATTTCCGGTGGCATTGATTTCATTTTTGGCTACGCCCAATCCCTTTTCGAGGTATACATCTGTTTCTACTCCTTTTTCATACGTAAGAGTGCCATATCTACAAAGAAACGATCTACACATATATTGTGTATGTGTGTTTTGTCACACACAAAGAATTTTTGATCCTAGTCGAAGAAACTTTTTTAAAAATGCATAATAAGCTAGCGTAACTTTTAATTGTTTATTTTCCACAATAAATCATATATAGTACAACAAAATTTAAACTACATGAAATAGTGCATAAGACCACTATATATATGAACCTATTCCGAAAAAGTAAGCAACACCAAGTTTGGAAAAAAATGAGAAGAAATTAAGCGTTCTATTTGTACTTTATGCATGGAATCATAGTGTAGAGGAATTTTAATTAAAGATAAAAATGTGTGGTTATAATGGTGAGAAAAATGAAGGGATGTACGGTGAATCTAACGGTGGGAATCTACGCACCGGACAGAGCCTACGGAACGATAACGGCGCAGGGAAGGCAGTCGCCAAAGGATAACGGAGGGTTCTTGTTTAAGGACTGCACCGTTACGGGGATCGGCAAGGCGTTGTTGGGGCGAGCGTGGCAACCATACGCACGTGTCATCTTTTACCGTTCAAAATTTTGCAACGCCATTTTGCCAATTGGTTGGGATGCTTGGAGAGCTAAAGGCCAAGAGTAACTGCATATTCACCAATCTCTTAACCCTTTTTTTTTTCTTTCTTTCTGATCACCATTTTTACATTTTTAATATGATATTTTAAATTTAATGGTTATAATGTTTTATTTTGTTTTAACAGGGGCCATATAACGTTTGTGGAGTATGGTTGCACTGGAGCTGGAGCGGACACGTCACAGAGAGTGCCATGGCTCAAGAAGGCGAGTACAAATATCCTACTTAGCCTCACCAATGGTTCCTTTATTAACCAAGAAGACTGGCTTAGTAGCCTCCCCATCAAATATTAGATATAATATGCCGGAAGATAATACTCCGCTTAATTAATTAAGTCAGCTCTACGGTAGATTAGAAAACCGTAGTCAATAAAATATTGTTAGTTTATGTTTGACGGTCCACGTGAAGGGGTTTGATTCGGGTCTTGCTCATTTGGCAAGTTTAATTAAAGTTTGTATTGTGTGTAATCTCTTACGTACCTTCTCTCTCTGTCTCTCTCGTTAACTTGCATTTTCAATACTATTACATAAGATCATACACAAATGAAAAAGGCAACGTCATGCGGTTACAACATCATGTCATGTGTATGGTCGTGCGTGACGTTGTTGTTGTACGTTCAGCCGCAGCCGAACAATTGCCTTACAACCATAAACGTTGCTCCTAACGGTGACGGATATTTCACAATCGATTTAATTCCCAATCTTTAGCAATAATGGATCTTTTATCTTCATAGAAAAAAAATGGAATTTGCCGGTTATAGTTTAGTGTCTTTTCAACAAATGTTACATGTGTATAAGTTCACTTGTCACCTTACTTTTGTCTTCTAATTATTAATATATATATATATATATTTTTTTTTTAGAGGCCAGATTATTACTCTCTCTGTTTATAGTTGATTTTCTAAAATTTTTTTTTCTTGTTTCATAATATTTGATTTCATACATCTAATAAATGCATGTCTCTTCTTTAAATTGAATGAATAATATTAATGCATGTTGCTTTACTCTATTAATGCACAATTAAAAAAGAAAAAGTAATAATATAAATAATGAAATCAGTTGTAAAAGTAATTTAATTAATAAAAATAAACAATAAATAATTGAGCATTTATAGTTTTCTTAATCTGTGTGTAAATATTCAGAAAATCAACTATAATGAAACAGATGGAGTAGTATATAACTTAAGAAAATTTTTAAGAGCTATATGCAAATGTTTTCCAGCACTGTTTCTAAAGTAATAATCTATTCTATTAAGGCACTGTTGAATGGATCAGATTATCTTACACTCCCATATATTTTTGATTATTATTATCATAGGAAACCCAACACTACACTTAGAATCCATTGGGTTAAATTCATATAAATCGAATTACTCGGGAGAATAAAAAAATTTCCTTTGCACAGAAATTTGTAGTGAAATTATTAAGGTAAAATAATAGCACCCCTTTTAAACTTGGTTATCTAACTTACGGTAAAAGTAAAAAAAAAAAAAAGTCTTGGCTCAATTTCGAGTCAGTTGCCCAATAAGCACAAAACGCTGTCGTTTATTGAATTGAACCACATCTGAAACTTAAATTTCGGTACGGGAAAGTGGAAACCCCTTGGAGGACTGACTCTTCTCTCTCGCTCTCTACCGTCGCCGGAGAAATTCCCCGATTACACAATCTGAGAACAACCGTGACGACTTCGATTAATCGAGTCAATCAGGAATTTTTTGTTAAGATGGAGAGACGCGTCGCAAACGCCTACCCTGGTCCACCACCACCACCAGTTCCGTACTATCATAACAACAACTACAATCCTCCTCCTCCTCCTCCTCATCATCATCATCAGATTCATCCGCCGCACCACCATATCGCCGCCGTTGGATTCCACCAATACCCGCAAACCGAGAATCAGCGTTACAATCAGCCGCATTATGATAACCATTACCCCGCCGCCCAACAACAACACAACATGATCGTTGACGCGCCGCCGTTTCCACCGAGTACTGGGTTTAGTCCTTGCGGCGTAAGCTTGAAGAAGAGACGCTCTCTGTCCGCTACCCCAGGTTTCCCCCAATTTCGTCTCTTTCTTCTTCTATTTTTCTTTCTGCTTCATATCAGACTAAAAGGTGTAAAATTTCAATCCACTAAGAAAATAATACTCTTGTTTCTTTTTTTTTTTTTCTGTATTCATGAAGATCCTACTGCTGATGGTAGTAGTATTGCCAAGCTATATGTTGCGCCGGTCCCAATGACAGCAAAGGAGGACGATGTGTGTTTCTTGGCTTACTACTATTCTGTTTTTTTTTTATGAAATGTTTTTCCTTGAGATTCTGTGTCACAATCTGTGTTTATATATTTCAGGTCCGTCAGGTGTTTGAAAAATATGGCAATGTCACGGAGATCATTCTACCCAAAGATAAGATGACTGGTGAACGAGCAGGTCACACTTTTACTTCCTATCATTGATATTCTTGCTTCTCCGGATTTTTAGCAGTTTGATTATAACAACATCCTCTATGTTTGCAGCTTACTGTTTTGTTAAGTACAAAAAGTTAGAAGAGGGTAGTGCCGCTATTGCAGCTTTAACAGATCAGTATACCTTCCCTGGGGTGGGTCTTTGCTGCAATCTTGTTTTGCTCATAACATTTCCTCACTGATGTGGGATTCTCTTTTCAAAAACTTTGTTCTTTTTTTCTTTCTTTCAGGAAATGGCTCCAGTCAAGGTCAGATATGCCGATGCAGAACGTGAACGGACTGGTAAGTCTGTGCTTTTAAACGTAAAACTATATGAAGTCAACATGGTTGGTAGTTTACTAAGGGAACTTTTTGAAACATAAACCATGTTTTACCTTAATTTAGTATTTGATTTCTCATGCCTTCAACTGCTTCTCGTTCTCCCCATTTACTTAGTACAGAAAAGCAACTTTCACGAGCTCCTGAGTACGAAAGATGCTCTCTTCTTTTTCTCATTTTTGTATTTTCTTTTCATCTGGACTTCAGGGTTTTCGACAGTGCAAATTCCAGATAAGCTATATGTTAGATGCCTCAACAGACAAACAACAAAAATGGAAGTCCATGAGGTATGGTGGGAGTCCATTTACGTTTCAAGTTTTAGTTAATCTGAATTCTTTTGGCAATTGACCCAACTGTGTGCAGAATTTTGTTTTTCTCCAAGTTATAGGTATATTTCATACTTTGATAAATACTCCCTGGCTTGAGTAAATTTCAAAGTGTCCTCTTTTCAGGTGTTTTCTAGGTACGGAATCGTTGAAGATATTTATATGGCAGTGGATGACATGAAGATTAGCCGTGGTATGTCCATTGCCCTTGCATATTTTTGTGCGTGACTTTGAAATTTGAATCATACTTCCATCAGACATCCTAGTTTGAATTATTCAGATTTTGTAGTTTCTCCTCCAGTAGATTCTGAGTACTACATATGCTGAATAACCGATTAAAAAAATCCATATAGGCCCTTAGTAAACGAAGATACTTGCACTTAGTAAACTGTTTTGGCAGTTCTTCTAAAAAAATTGCCTGGACAAACACTTAGGAAACATGATTTATATGAACTATGGTGCTATATGCAATTCGCTCTAAATCTTGTTAGTTTTTTTTCTTTCTTTTTATCCCTCCAAGCCTTCTGTCTTAATGTGATGTTCTGGATAGCATGAAACCTGATTAAAACTAACTTATTTGCTCTCTGAAGGGTATGCATTTGTTCAGTTTTCTCGTAGGGAGATGGCACTAGCGGCAATCAAAGGTTTAAATGGACTCTTTACCATGCGGGTAGTTGAGACAGTTCTTTGATGTTTCTCAGTGCCTCAGTGTTTATTTGAGGTTCACTGGTCATGACTTTCTGCATTTCTGTCTTCCTTTCAGGGTTCTGATCAGCCTCTGACTGTCAGATTTGCCGATCCTAAAAAACCCCGTCTAGGGGAACCAAGGTATTACTGTTCGCTATTCCTTTTCTACATTGATTTGCCAAAATTTCTATTCAGTTACAAACTCATCTTCTTGGTTCTTACATTTTAACCGTACTCGCATCACTTATTGTTTTGCCGATTAGTTATAGTTCTTGAAGGATTTACTTGCAAAGCTTTTTTCAGCAACATGTTGATAAATATATAAATCACTCCATCTCAACAGATTTCGATTGTTCCGATGTCTTCAGGTCTAACTTTAACGCTCCACCAGCAATGCAACAATTCGATCCAAATTGGCATCCACAATCATATCCCCAATGGGGAAACAAAGAACCTGCAGCCCCTAGAGTCGTTCAGCATCATGATTTTGCCTCACAGCCAAATCACTTCCCGCAGCAAAATGCTCAAGCAGTATCCGAGGTTCATAAACCGCTGCATCAAGATATCCTACCTCAAAATATTGAGAAGCACCAGAAATCTGAGACTGCAAGCGTGGAGGTACTCCTTTTGTAGGATCTGCTAATGGTAGACGGATCTTGAACTCTGGACCACGATTTATCTAGACGGTTTAGGTTTCATAAATCTCTTTTATTACATCTGCTTGATCTCACATCTCTTACTGCTTTGATGGTAGAATGGAGGCGATGGTCAGAAGATTTCTAGTCATTCAAATGCATTCCCTGAGGACCAAAATACAGCGAGCCCTGAGTGTGATTGGAGTGAACACACTTGTCCTGATGGGAACAAGTATTACTTCCATTGTGTCACTTGCGAAAGCACGGTAAGTACTCTTTCATTGTGTGTAACTCAACTGATGGCATGTCTAAGTTAGACTCTGATTATATATGGATGGATGCACACCCAGTGGGAGAAACCTGAGGAGTACTCCATGTTTGAGAGATGGTTCCAAGAGCAAACAAGATCATAAACTTGTATCTTCCCCCGTTGAACAATCAGAGCCAAGGGGGCAGAACCGAAGGAGGTAGAGTTTAAAGCCATTTTGTATAAATACTTAGTTGGTTTAGATGGTCTATAGAAAAATGTGTCATTGTTATTTGTTAAATTACCAGTATCAAATTCGGTTTTGAGATCAGTTTTGAAAAATACAAAAAAAAAAAAATATCGAAAAGGCCCATTCAGAAGAGTTGCTGGGCCAGAATTAGAAATAACAGTTGGGTTTAAGGCCCATTCAGAAGAGTGAGCTTGAAACTAGCCCATTAACGTTTATCATCATGGAGTTGGATGGGGTTAAACAATTGCCGATCCCACTTAGGAAGTCGTGGCGAGTCCGAAAGAAGGTGAATCTCACAGTCTAGAGTAAAGTAGAAAAGCCCGTCACAAAGATCCTGGATCCGATGATGTGAGATTGTACGATATTCATAAAGTTAGAGAGAAAAGGTATTGTTGAGAATAAATGTAATTAATATCTTGAAAATGGCCAAAGACCTTTTGCATATATATATATATGTAATGTAGTGTAATGTTTTCAGCAAGGGATTATCCTCCAATCAAACATACAAACTCGTTATAACTTGCTATTCGTAAACACGATATCCCTTTGGAATACACATAAGGTGATTAAAATATTTGATCAACCAGCAAACATTCTGTCTTTACTTTAAGCAAGAAACATGCCACGACTTGAGTGAATCTGGTTCAACGATGGTAATGCGAGTATCTAGACAAAATAAATAAAATCATTGGGCTGGCTAGTGGTAGTAGTCAGAGTCACTGGTGAAGGCCGTGTCTGCCATGACCTTGACCACCGTCCACGAGGGTGGCTGCTTCACAACCGTCGACTCAGACTCTTCCATCTCGGCATCTCCGTCGCAAGCAGAAGAAGAAGAAGAAGAAGAAGAAGAAGAAGAAGAAGAAGAAGCCATGTGAATGTGATTCGATTGTGACTTGGTGGTGGGCAGCCTTGAATGCCTGGAAGCCCTCCGCTTTGGATGTGTAGGAGGTCTTCGCCGCTTCTTGTTGAAACACATGTTCGCAACCTCCTGGATGCATTGTCTCCTGTGAAATTGAGCAAGGAACACATGTGTAGTGAGAGATAGAAATATTCCCAAAAGATTTGATGATATTAGTTAGTTAATGGATGAATTTTTTGTTGGGTATACTCGAGCTCGGTGGCGGCCCAATCCCCTCGTGACGGCTTCTTCTTGGCCTTTCGCTCCGGCAAAATTATACCCATGGACCTGAATATTTCCTCGCGGGTTCTCGTCTCCTCCGGCGCTGGCTGGAAGCATATAGATTGCTCCTTCTTCATCGCCTCTGGGTCACTCATCGACATTCACTAAACCCTAACCCCACTCCAATTCTTACCCAATGCTCCCTCCAGTTCTTGATGTTTGGTTTTTAGAATTTTTTTCGGTTTTGTTTTAAATTAATTCGGTTCGTAGAATTTTGCGCAACCGAATTTAAGACAGTATATATATATATTTTTTTTTTAATTATGACACGAGAAGCCGAGATATCAGTAAATATTTACACAAATAATTATATGATTTGTTAATGTTAACAGATATACGAGTCAATTTAAAATCCAAGTGCCTCTCCAAGAGATAGAGGTTATCGTTAAATCTAGAGTTAAAGAGCAAAAAGAAACCACTCACTTTGCGGAAACAACATTAAACTTAAGACAAGGTAAGCCTAAATAGTTCAGTTTCCAGATTTCGATTTCTTTTGTTTTCTCCCCCGAGATTTCTAGCCTGTTCTCTTGAAAAATTTCGGATTGATCTGAGACTATCATCGAATAATTCGATTTTAGTGAAATCGGAATTTTGCTCGTCCTGTCTAGATCAGGGAAGGAGATTTATCGATCCCATAGATATTGTTTTTCTGCAGAAGCTAACTGCTCTTGAATATTCCTCCTATTGATTGTGTGAATTCGTCTTCGTCTCCTTAGTCTTCAAGGATTTTTTTGGATCTGAAGTTTTGGTGTGCAACTAATGGCGAAGATCAAACCTCAAGCTTTACTGCAGCAAAGCAAGAAAAAGAAAGGACCGACTCGTATAAGCATAACCAACATCGTCATTTACAGCTTGGCTCTGCTATTGGTTATCCTCGTCCTCTTCTCCGCTTACAGACGTTGGACCCAGAGGTTCCTCACTTTCTCTCAACTTGTAATTGAGACTACTTTTGATCCTATCATCCCCATATGCATAGCTCAACATGTTTAGGAAGATCATTGTTATTAATAATTTCTTAATGTGAACAATACTGAGGATTTATTGTGGCTTTCAGATCTGAGATCCCCACGCACAATGGTAGATCAGTTCTTGAGGTATTCTCTCTATAGGGCTCTTACTGGTTTAGCTCATTTTGGTCGCGATAGTTATGCCCTTGTGTTAAATGATTTGTTCTGTGCAGGATGCAGCCTTCCCCGGAATGAAGAATACCAATGTCCCACGGTTTGCTGTGAGTTTTATTTGATCACACAATAAATATATGTTTTAGTGTTTCTTTCAATTTATCTTTTTTCTCTGTTGATCTCTAGACCTTAGATACGGCCAAAGGTTCAGTGAGAATTGAGCTGTTCAAGGATACTGCTCCCAATGTTGTTGACCAGTTCATGAGATTATGGTAAGCTAAACATTTTCAGGTCACATTTGCTTTCCTTACATAATTCTTGTGTGAACTGTTTTTTTCACATTGGTGTGGGCAGTCAAGATGGGTATTTCAAAGGTTTCTTATTCCGTCGAGTTGTAAAGCATTCTGTGATTCAAGCTGGTGACTCTGGTGAGTTCGACGCCGTCAAAGATTGGGCACTCGAAAGGAAGAATCTTGATACCAGGTTTGTACTGTCTAATTCGTTAGCTAATATGGCACAAGATAAGATTTTTACTTTTGTTTCTGGCTTCATTAATCATGGGAACTCTCTCACTCTGTCTTGATCAGTTTAAAACAAGACGACTTTGTGGTGGCTACTCCTAAAGCTAAAAACGAGCAAGGAGGATTTGAGTTTTTCATTGTATCTGCTCAGATCACAGATCTCAACGAAAAATTGACAGTCTTTGGTCGAGTTGCCAAGGGACAAGACGTCGTTCACGAGATCCAGGAGGTTGAGACAGATGAACAGTATCAACCAAAATCGCCAATTGAGATCATGTCCGTTACTTTGCTTCAGGACATGTGAAAGCTTTGTGTGAAAACCTCAAGTGATTTTTGTTGTATTGCTCTGTAATTTGAACGCTTTTCATCACCTCGTTTGCACTTTGCTGTTGTTGCATAATTTTCTAATCTATCCTTTCGCATCATTTCTCGTAGATAGTAAACAAACAACAAATGTGACATTTAGATATTCGGGAGTTGAGACAAGAAGGATAAATAATATTTTCAAGACAAATGATACAACAAGATTGTAAAAACACTTGCAACCATTACGCACTCAATTATCCCAACCAGATCTCCTTTTCCTCTCTCTTGGCCGATCTTCAGAACTGCAACAGTAAGATCAAATTAAATCAGTCACAACACTAATTTACAACTGTAGAATACCAAATCAAAACCATAACTAAACGGAATCAAACCTTTGTGGGTTCTTTTGACATGAGTTATGTACTGAAGCGTTATGAGTAGTTGCTACTGGGGGAGTTTGACTCTGACTTCTACCCATCTCCCCACCAATGGTCCCACCCGAGACAAATCCCATTAGGGATGGTCTCTTGTTCGGATAAGCTTGGCTTTGTGGGTTCGATGGCGTAGCAGCCACAAAGCTGTTCTTGAATTGGGCCATTACTCCGGTTCTCACGGAATTGATCGCCCCGCTTCTACTTGCTGCAGCACCACTTCTTCTTGGTGCAGCTTGAGCCGGTGTCCCACTTGACTCTGAGTTAAATCCAATACCAAGACCAAAATCAACTCCTCGTACTCCTCTACTTCCACCTCCACCTCCTCCTCGTCCTCGACCTTTCTTCCCACCTATGTAACACAAGAGATTTAGAGATATGCACAAGTTTTTCGATGGATTCCCTCACTTGCCAACAATGCATATGCAAAGATAACATTGACCACAGCTTTTTCCCTTTCGTATTCAAATATAATCAAAGGTTTCTGTTCGCAGTTTTTGGCAATAGCATATATTACTGAATAGAGCTAAAATAGCTTACCTCCTTTTCTTCCGTCACGCTTGGACTTGAATCGTCCATCCTATAGATTTGCAAAGGTAAATTTCACTCAATAAGCATCTTTTTTTCTATGCAAAAAATGAAACTAGGAGCTAGAAGATGAACAATCATAGAAGATCCTAGAGTAAAATTATTGCATATTTAAAAAGAACGATATCAATGAAGAGGATCTGTCATTACCTTCATGGCGAGATCCATGAGTTCTGGAGGCACATTCTGCCCAGCAGCAACCAGACTGTTTATCAATTCACCAGCAAATCTAGCCTCTCTCTGCGTAACAAGTGTGTAGGCAACCCCGTCTTTGTCACCTGCACGCCCTGTTCTACCAATACGATGTACATGCATGTCCATGTCTTTTGCAATGTCGTAGTTAACCACTGTCTTAATCGATTTGATGTCAAGACCTCGGGCAGCAACATCTGTGGCAATCAGCACATGGTAGATTCCAGATTTGAACTTCTGCAGTGTTTCCATTCGTGATGTCTGGTCTTTATCACCGTGAAGGGCAGCAACTTTAAAACCATTTAGAGTAAGCTGGGCTTCGATCTCATCAACAGTGGCTTTTTTAGAAGCAAAAACTAATACGTCACCCTCATCAATCATTCCAGGTAGCTTCTCAAGTAGCCAAGGAAGTTTTTCAGTATCTGACGGTATTACATTGACAACTTGCGTAATATCCTCATTGGCCATCCCAACTTCACCAACGGTGACTCTAATAGGATCTGAGAGGATTTCCCTAGCTAACTTTTCAACTTTCCAAGGCATAGTGGCTGAAAAGAGTAAAGTTTGGCGATCTGGACGAATCTGGCCAACGATAGACCTCACTTGCGGCTCAAAACCGAGGTCAAACATCCGGTCAGCCTCATCAAGAACCAAATACGTCGCTCTCATCATAGTCAAAGCCTTCATCTTAAGCAAGTCGATCAACCTTCCAGGAGTAGCAACAACTATCTCGCATCCTGTCTTGAGCTCCTTAAACTGTTCATGTTTAGACATTCCACCATACACAGCGGAGACTCGTAGGCCATATGCTTTTGAAAATTTCTTCGCTTCCAAGAATATTTGATGAGCCAGTTCTCTGGTTGGGGCACATATAACACCAATAGGACCTTCTTCTTTCTGAAGTTCTGGCTGATCCATAATATGCACAATCATGGGAAGAACAAATGCTGCCGTCTTTCCTGAACCAGTTTTGGCTATACCTATAATATCTCGACCAGATAACACAATCGGTAAAGCCTGACACTGGATGGTTGTAGGTTTTTCATATGCTTGTTTTTTGATGGCACTCATGATTTGTGAGGAAAATCCACAATCTTCAAAGGTCTTGACTGGCCGAGGAACATCAAAACCCGACACACGAATTCCCAAACTCTGACGATAATCCGAAGTCTCTTGTTCACTCATTCCTGGATTAAGAAATTGATCAGTTGACTCAATCTAGCAAATAAACAATGCAGCACCCTTAATTTTAAAGCAAGTAACACTAACGAACAGAAACTTACCTGATATCGATTCCGCCTCCTCGTAGAAGTCCTTGTTAATCGGTTCGTAATCGATAGAGCTATGATCAAGAGCTTGAATTGGCTCGATCTTCCTTTTATCCACGACAATCGGATTATCATCGGAGTCATACTCCAGCATCCCCGCATCTACCGCCTTGGCTGCAGCATACACCTCCTCGTCGGAGTTATAACCTGCGTTGAGCGCGTCTGCGGCTAGTGTCAGGCCCAAATCCTTCTTCGCCTTGAGGAAACTCTCGACGGGATCGTCATCTTCATCGTCCTTGTACCTCTGTAGTTTCTCCTTCGGCTTAGGAGGTGGAGCAGCCTTCACTTCCTCGTGAATTCCCTCCATAAAGGCGTCTAGTGGATCGATCTCATCATCCTCGAGATCGTTAGCCGCTGCTGCAGAGCCGCCAATCTCGACGTCTTCTTCAGCCTCTTCGTTTTCTAAATAATCAATGTTATCTAGATCGGCATCTTCGGAATTGTCTCCCCCGCGAGACGACGGAGGGACGTAGAGACGTTGCGGTGCTTGAGATCGCTCGAAACTGTATGTAGTTTGCCGATTTATGCCAAACCCTTGAAATCCGGACTTCCGATTAGACATTATTGACTATGATTTTCTTCTCTCAGCTCTGCTTTTGAGCTAAGTTCTCAACTGTTGCAAAGTATTCTGACGAATTTAGGGTTTCGTGTTTTAAATTTTTCTTTTTTCCTTTTCCGGTAGTATGTAAATCGGGAGGAAGGAGACAATCTCGATTTCCACGGGTTTGCCGACTTGTTCAAGTCTATATATATTTTGGGTCAGTAATGGGCCTATCTTAAACACTTATTTGATATTAGACCCACATATAGTTACACTACCCAATTTCGCAGTGTCACCCAATTACTGATTTACTGTGTTATTATTTTTTTCTTTTTCTTGCAACATATGATTATGCACACGCAAATTTCATCATTTTGAAGAAATATTCTGTTATAAATATTCTCATACAAATAGAACTCAAATAAGCTGGTTAAACTTAAGGGTTTTTGAGAGATAATTGACCAAAAATGAGCTTCTCATGTAATTTAGCTTTCCAAAATCTGACTTCTTAAAACTAATCATCGTATATAGTTAGTCCCATACCTATTGTAAATTTCCAAAATTACAAAAAAAAGTTTCAATAAAGTTAAAAAATGGAGTCTTACCAAATATATATGACGTTTAAGCCATGGATCGTTCGATACAAAATATATCCAAAGTTTCTCAATTCTTCACCTAATGCTTCATCTTTTTTTTTTAAAAAAAATTGATCATATTTAATCTTTTTGCCAATGTGTGTATATAATTTTTACCAGTATTATTAGTGTAAACAAATTTTAGTTAATAAATTGAAATTACCAATTAAGCGGCCATAAATCATAGATAAAAAACAAAAATTATCATATAACCCAAAAGAATGTACGTAATTAATATATTAATGTTTAGGGTTACCATATCAAGTGGATATAAACATTGTTATTAACAATATAGCGTATCTAGTTGATATAGTAACCCTAAACGATATACTAATTACGTACATATTTACATATCGATAGTGATATAAGTGTAAAATGAAAAAAAATATGATTGTTGTGGAATTATCTTCTTGGTATCAAATTATCAATTTATAAATATAAAACGATGACATGATTATCCGAAAATATTTTTTTAAAAAAATCATACAAGTTTTTTTAGTTCCTTAAATCAATAATCTAAATTTTTAACATTTTTCTTCACGTCCTACAACAACATAATTTTGACAGTGAAAATAAGATGTTCTTCTGATTTCATCCCGTGATAACATCATCTTATTATTCGTAATTGTTTTTTCTTCTTTTACGGTCACGTGCGAAGAAAATGCTTGTCCTTGAAAGACATGACAGAAAGCGGCATGTGCTAACATACACACTGATATGCATCTTTCTTAACATGCGCACCGGCAGGTCTACAAACAAAATCAACGCAGAAGAAGAGAAAAATAAGGAAACAAACGAGAGAGATGAGAGACCGTCCCTAGAGAAAGAAAAGGAAACAAATATACTCAACCCGAGTCACGTTCTGAGTCGGCTCACCGAGTCTAGCTGTCGAGTGGGAAGGAGCAGCGAAATCCCGTATAACCGATAAAAAAGGGATCTTTGGATTTTTTTCTTTTTTTTCCTTTTTTTGTATGTGTGTGTGTGGGTTGGTGTTGAAATAGCAAAAAAATGGTGAACGAGGAGATAATTAGTCTCTCACCTCTTTACTACTCTTCTTCTTCCGCTGTCTTAATTCTTATCCCCGACTCTTTCCCTAACCCTAATTCTTCAAGGATTCAATTCTCGATCTCTACTTATGGGTTTTCCTTTTATCATCATCTCTATCCTCCCAATCTGTCGCCTCCACCTTTGCTGAGCAGTCTAGGTATTCTCCGCGGTCTCTCTCTATCTCTTGATTTGATTTTGATTTTGATTTTGATTTTGATTTTGATTGTTTGTTGTGACGATCATATTGTTTAGAGCCTGCGCTTTTGGAGTTTGTTTATTTTCCGTGTTTATACTTGATGGGGCCATTCGTTTGACCTTGATTCGATCGTTCGTTTTGGTGTTGGTTTCAATTCGTCGAAAGTGTTGGATTCGCTAGAGATCTTACCCGCGTTTAGGAAAGTTTATTTTCTCGTCTGTATCTTCAATTGATCACTTGTTTTGATTTGATCTGGGATTCTGATGATACACTCGTTGAATTTCAATTCTCATAGGACGCTGAATGAGATTCCTTTTTTGATCCTATTCTTTGCTCAATCGTACGCTGCTCGTGTCTCTCCTTGTTATTCTGCTGCGTCAGTAACACATTACATATTTCTGCTTCTTCTCAGTTTCCGCAGTTCACCAGTTAATCTTCAAGTTAAGTAATCTGTTAAGAGCGAGGAAAGTGTATATGCCTGTATATACCCTACAATGGAAGATACTGGTGGTGTTCATTATGATGGTATGAAGAATATGGTGAGGAAGAAACGTAGCCAGACTTGTCGTCGTCCTCGCCCTGAGGGATTGAATCTTTCAGATAGTTTCAGCAAGATCTCAAGTGATGATATACCGGCATTTGATACTAACCCTAGAAGGAAGGAGTTTAGTCTTAGCCATTGTATATCAAGGTCTGAATCTATCGCAGAATCCGAAAGAGGAAACAATGATTCTCGGCGGAGAGAGATCATCAACAGAAATAAACGTTCGACTGAAGGTGTACTTGCACCTGCCAGCTGGAAAAATACAAGCCGCCAAGATGGAAGTAATGGCATTATCAATGGAAAGGGAACTGATTTGGGTGAGCTAGTAGAGGGTGAAACTAAGAAAATGAAGCTTAAGATCGGTGGTGTGACTCGGCTGGTTCATGCTAATGGTTCATCTCGAAAGTCTTCGAAACCGGTGAATGATACTACTCGGTCTAACAACGATTTGGAGGTAAATTATCCTAGTTTGATATATTGATAAAGCTCAAGTTGTTGGATTGTCTTGCATTCATTGAGATTTAATTAGTACTTTATCATCCTCTTGCATTGATTATACTCTTCAGTAATTGCTATGATCTTTTCGGGCTGTACGGCCCATAATCTCCTCGGTTTCGGGGACCGGAGTAGGTTAAACTATCCTCGGCTTGGGCTCAAACTAGTAAATGCGTTGCTGTTTATGGACAATAGTTGGAAAATGTCTTGTTTTATGCAAATCATCACATTGTTACTCTGAAAAGGATTAGATTGTGTCTTAGTTTCTGTGCTGGGCCTTTTTTTGACAGTTTATATACGGTAAACTTATAGATTTGTTTCCATTAAATTTTTATTGAATGGCAGGAAAGCTCAGATGATTGTAACTCCCATCTAGATAAGAAGGCTGATCTCGAGGGAGTTACTTGGAATGCTGAGAAAGACGAATCTATGACTGGGAGGAGAAAACAAGGGGAATCAAGTGGATCGGTTCGCAAGAGCAAACGAGCCCCAAAGAAGCGGGTTTTTGATAGCGATGACGACAACGATGATGAGATCCGATATTTGGAAAAACTCAAGTATAGGAATGCCTCTGCGTCTAATGAAGAGACTGAGTCGGGGAGGAGGCAATTGAAGCCATCTGGGATTACCATTGGGGAAAATTCTGGTATGAAGAAATCTGCAATTGAAAAGGCGTCCGAAGACATGGATTATGCGGAGGAATCTGAATCTCTGCCTGATGAAAAAGAGATTGCTAATGAGACTAAGAGGGAATCTACTTTGACTAGTCGCCAACGAGCCCTTGCTTCTGCATCTGGCAGATCAAGCGCAATTGAATTTCCAGATGGATTACCTCCAACAACATCGAGAAGTAAGGGTTTTTGTCTTTTCTCCTTTGCTTCTTTCACAAATATATCTTTTTGCAGTATAGATTCAGAAGTGTATAGTGATAAATTCTGCTGAAAATTAGGGAAAAAGGAGAATCTTTCAGAAATGGAACAGCAACTGAAGAAGGCAGAAGCTGCCCAAAGGCGAAAAGTTCAGATTGAGAAGGCTGCAAGGGAGTCTGAGGTTGGTGTTTTTCTCTCTCCATTGTGCTATGAGTATTGAAATACTGGCAAATCCATGTTAGGGATGGTCTTGGTTTTGTTTTTACAGGCGGAGGCCATTAGGAAAATCCTAGGTCAAGATTCCAGCAGGAAGAAGCGTGAAGACAAAATTAAAAAACGACTTGATGAATTGGCTCAGGTATTGGGAAATGAACACGATAGACCACTTAATCGTTAATTGGGTTATTTCTAAGTAGAACTGAGATGCTGAAAATTTGGGTTGTCATATGTGTTGAATTGATCACAGGAGAAAGCTGCACACGAGGAAAGGGCCTCGACGAGCTACATCCGAACAATAATGGGTCCTAACGGAACCACTGTCTCATTTCCCATTGACAAAGTGCCTAGCCTGTTCGATCCCGTACCATCCGGGTATGGTGTACTCTCTTTTCTTTCTCATAATCTCTATTTTGGATTGACTCAAATCAGACCAATACATGAGTCCAAGTCCCTGAATCTCATAGCTGATTGGATCTGATTAATGTGAACAACTACACATAGCTTGTTGGTGAGCAGTAGATATAGGGAATGCTCCAAATGTTTTTGGATGTGGAAGATTAAGGAATGCTCTAGAATACGGCTTCTTTTGTTCTTTGATTCTGTTTTGTGTTTTCAGTAAATCATAAAGGAATTCATGAGTTCAAAACCTTATCATTACACTGTCAAGTAATATTGTTTTTGTTTTGGGGTTATGTGCAGTTATCCTCCTCCGCGAGAAAATTGCGCGGGTCCATCGTGCACCAATCCTTACAAGTATCGTGATTCAAAGACTAAGCTCCCTCTGTGCAGCCTCAAATGCTACAAGGCGGTTCAGGAGCAACAACAGACCGTACCGGTGCAGGAGCAACAACAGACCGCACCGGTGCAGGAGCAACAACAGACCGCACCGGTTCAGGAGCAACAACAGACCGCACCGGTTCAGGAGCAACAACAGACCGCACCGGTTTAGATATTGATTGATTTTATTTTTTCCTATAGAAAGGAGAAGATCTTAGCTTCCTGATTTTATAGATACAGAAAGACAATGCTTTAGTTTTTTACTTTGCTTCAGAGTTGTCTGATCGGAGACTTCATTTTTCTTTTGTGACGAGACGAGATCTTGCCCGTCCATTGTCTTTTACCAAACCTTCACATCACAGCCGTTCATTTATAGAATTCTTCTCCAACGGCTATCTTCAATATCGTTACCCTTTAACAATAAATATATAATATATATACGGGATATATATACATATGCTCTCTATTATTGGAAGCGAGCGTCGTGGACTCGGAGTACGTCGTCGTTTCTTAGCTGTGTTTCCGTCTCTAATGATCATGACTTTCCGATTTTTAAAATTATCTTTCTCCATAATTTTTCTTTTTTCGTGTAGTTGACAATTCGTGTAGGCAAACTTGTTAATTGGAAAGAACAAAGGCAATGATTTCTCATCACTCTTCTATCCGTTTAAAATAATCAAGTAATCTTAGTATGCGTATGTATCATATAATATAGACGTATTTTAAATTTGTTTATATGAATGATTCTTTTTCATCAAACCTAACTTGAAACTATAGACATGGCACCCACTCCTTGATCTTTCCTTCAAACATAAACATTCAATTTCCAAAAAAAATAAACATATATATATATAAATAACACGAAAACTGAATTTATGTTTCTTAACTTCCCAACCTTCTTTCCGCTTTAGATGTTGAAAATGAGTATCGCCGGAGGAGGAAAGTGGCGGAGAGAGGCGGAGCAGCTAGTGGTTAAGCCTTTTCGACTAGTGACAACAACTCTTCTCAGCCTCCTGCTTCCCCTCTCTTTCCTTCTCCTTAGCCGTCTCTCTTCAGCTTCCTTCCTCTTCTCCTTGATCAAATCTCCGCCGGAAAAAGAATCATTCTTCTTCTTCTCTATCTTTCGTTATACGAATCCGGCCATCTTATACGCCGTCGTTTCGTCAACAAGCGTTTACACTCTAGTTCTTGGTCTAACCACCAAGATCACAGCTACGGATCCCAACCGTACGATTCCCTTTTATCCACATGTCACCGTCGCATGGCTCGCACTTTTCCTGGTTCAAATCTCCGTCGGTTTAGGCCTGCAAGGAACGGCTTCCAACGGTTTAATCATCGGAAGCGAACGTAATTTCTTGAGCAGGCTCGTGTTTTTCTTTGGTCTTCACGAGGTAATGCTTCTGTGGTGTAGGGTGATCGTGAGACCGGTGGTCGATAGCACGTTGATCGGAGGAGACGCCGGTCACCACCGGATAGAAGAGACGGTGGTGGAGAGAGTGGCTTTGGCCGTGAGCTGTGGGACGTTGTGGTGGTGGAAGCTTCGAGATGAGGTAGAGGCTTTGGTTGGTGTGGCAGAGGCTAAAAGAGCATTGTTACTGTTATTGTTACCAATCGATGGTAATGTTAACGTTAGTTTGGATGTGGGAACGATTGATTTTGTGAATTGGTGGTTATATTATATGGTTGTGACGATTGGTATGGTTAGGATCGTTAAAGGGTCTTTGTGGTTTGGAATGATTCTGCTTTTCGAACAAGGTAGAAGAACAAATCCACGTGGAATTTCTACTGATCCTCCTGTTTCTACGGCTTCTCCTGTCCATTATGACAATGAAGGTGACACTAAAGTGTAAGTAACAACAATTGGTTTTAAAAGCCACTTGTGGTAATGCGTTTTTTTTTTTTGTTGTGGCCCAATTCTTACACGGAAGTTTCAAGTTGATATTTGTAATGAGAAAGATGTTAAGATCTTCTAATCAATGTTTTATCTAATAGATTAAGAAGAAATTTGATAAAGACGAGCTTTACATGATAGAATTATAAATGAGACCGACCATAAGCACAAATTAAGAAGAGATTACACTAAAAAGAAGTCTAAAACACAGCTTCTACAAGTATGTGTCTCTTCTTAGACCCAAACCCAACAATGTGGTTTAGATAGACTTTTCCTTCCTTCACAGTAGCCGACGAGACTAACCGATGAACCATACCGCTTCTGGACCAACCTATCACAGAAGCCGTCCGCCACCCGTCCGAGCTCTTGACCAACTTCGCAGAAGGATTACCTAAAAACACTCACATATAATTTGCTAAAAACTTAACAATCCAGATGCAATAATAGTTGTATAAAAATCAGAGCTTTTAAGGAAGATGTTAAAGACTACCTGCAACAACAATCTTGGTCGGAGACAACAACTCAAGCCCATCACCAAACCTCAATGTGCCACCAGTAACTTCAATTACGGTGACCTTATTATCCCCATTGGTGAGGTCGATTTTGTATAAGAAACCGGAGAAAGTGTGGATGGCGATAAGGAACCCATCAGGGTGATAAACAATGCCGTTAAGAGCGACCAAGTTATTGTACCATCCAGGTGGAGTGAAGAGAGGGCTTTCAATGGTGGACACAAGCTTTCCATTCACATCAACTTTCCAGATTTTACTGCCTTTTGCATCGGTTACATAAGCGTTGCCTTGTGCATCAACTGCTACATCGTCTGCAAAAGATTTCTCTTTACCTACATTCATCCAAATAAAATTCGACAAAAAAGACAAATAACCCTTCGTTATGTGCTGTTTGTTTGCTTGATAAAACAGAAACTGGATAGATGTTTGAGTCTAATTTTCAACTGTTTTCACAGATTGCAAGAGCTTTTGTGTGTGTGTTTATTAATTTATCATGTAACCTGAAACCCAGTCGAATTGTCTTCACGAGACGTCAAACATTGAGCAAGATTCTACCGTAGATTCAAATATTTGGTTCTATTGTTGACGTAATCGGACGGTCAAAAACAGTCGACGGAGAAGAAACGACAAAGGCAGATAAATTAGGAGAGCTTACTATGGCCGCTAAGCTCAGCGAGGAAGATACGACGCCACGTGGACATTTCATAGGCCGCTAGAGCGCTATACCGATTTCCAAGCAAATCGGCGACAGCGACGAGGAGACGGTTCCTGTCGCGGTCGATAGCGATTCCGAGGGAAGCGTTTCCGGCAAGGTCAACGTCTTTGACCAATGTGACTTCCTCAAGAACGTCGCTGTCTCCGTCGGAATCTCTGGGAACAACCTCGCCGATTCCGCCTCCGTCCATGAAGGAGACGAGGAATCTCCGACCAACATCGTCCCACTTAGCGCACTCGCGCAAGAAGCCGGAGCTGTGGTAAGAGAAGACGTGCGTCGGAGGAACGGCTTGCTCTAGGAAAAAGAGGTAAGCCATAGGAACGGCGGAGATTACGAGGAAGAGAGCGACGGAGAAACGGCCGGAGCAAAACGACGGCGACATTTTGAAAAAGAGTAGAGTGACCGGTTAGAGTTTGGGTACGACGAAGACCACTTTAAGTAAAATGTGGAACATAAGTTGGTGAGCGAACACGTTCGACTAAGACATTACAAAAGTGGGCTCCATTTATTTGGTGGCCCGTTGAATGTCTATTGGGCCCGGAAAGTGTATCTAGAATTCAATGCTAATTATTATACATCCTGAGGTTGTTGTCTTTTTCCCACCAATTTAATGCAGTATCATCTTTGGAATATCAAATTTAGAATGTTTTTGATTATTAGTTTCTGGTTAGCTAGGGGGAAAAGGGAGAAAAGAAAAAACCTTATGTTAAAAAAAAATGGGCCGGGCGAGACGCGAGCCCAATAAGTTAGAAGGGAGAGTAGTATAATTCCATTAGATTAGAATAAGTGGGGCAATCGGTAGCTTTCGCACCTGAAGAATCCGCTTCATTCGTCTTCCTCCGCACTCCGACTTGGTAAATCCCCAAATCCATCTCTCTTGATCTCTGTCTATTGCTTTTCAGCATTTCTGGGTTTATGCCGATTCTTCTTCTAGATAGGTACTGATTAGACTTCTAATTTAGATGATTCGAATTGGTTCCTCTCCCTATTGTGGCGATCTAAGGGATCCAGATTTCCTTGTTATTTTTGGTTAACCTGATGGGTTTTTTTTAGCTATGATATTCATGAATTTTTTTTCAAATCATTTTCGTCCGGGGAGAGATATTAGACTGATTTTTGTACTGGTTAAAACGATGTAGATATGGATTGCTTCATTATGTCATTAATATTGAATCAAAGTCTTTGATTAATCTGTTAACTAGTCACCGATTGCCTGAAGAAGGAAAATCCATAGCCCATTGATCTAAAGTGTGCTTTTTTGGTAAAGAAGAGAGCCGCTGAATTGGTTGTGCATTACATTGTCTAGTTTTCATTGAGTGTAAAGATTGTAAAGACTGATTCATGTTCGATCGTCGGGGTTGTGATGTATAATTTTGGCAGGTTGAGAAAAGAAAGAAAGAAGAGATGGCAGGACACAAGGTTGCACATGCCACATTGAAAGGCCCTAGCGTTGTGAAGGAGTTAATTATCGGCATGGCACTCGGTTTAGCTGCTGGTGGTCTTTGGAAGATGCACCATTGGAACGAACAGAGGAAAACTAGAGCTTTCTATGACTTGCTTGAGAGAGGTGAGATCAGTGTTGTTGCTGCTGAAGAGTAATAAAAGCCGCTGATTCTTCAAGACCAATGTTTTCGAATTCTTGTTTTTCCGTTTCTTAATAACTCTTAAATGAGTTGGGATTTTGTGAGAAATAAACAAACCTGTGAATGGGATTTGTTAGTTCATAAACAGACTCAGATGTGATGTTGATTCAGACATTATCTCTTTTGTTTTGTTTCGTATTGTTGTCTGAGAAACCACAGAAAGGTGAATCTTGTGGAAACTTGTTCATGGAAATATTGCACTAAACAGAAAGTGATTCCAACTTTGTGGCCTTTTTGTTCGCATTATTACGAATCCGAATGTTCTATGAAAAAATATAGTTTGTGTTGTGTTCCCAGTTTCTGCAAGTGCGTTTGAATGCCCAAACCCGAGGCACAGAGACTCTGAAAATTAAAAGCATAACCAGAAATTTAAACAAACTGATAAGCTATACAAACGTGAGAAATCTTGTGGTTTTGTTTATTGGTTGGGAATGTTTACCAGAGAAGTGATCTCCTCAGAGCTTGGAGTGACCTTCATGCTCACCAAACTCCGGGTTACCACCTCCTGTGGCAGTCGCTACTTTATCTGCAGAATCCGATCCTTCTTTGGACTGGTCTGGACTTGTGTCTGCATCTGATGTGTTCGGAACACAGTATTTTTGAAGCCAGCGATCAGTTTCCCAGAGAACGTGCATAATGCTTTCCCGTGCTGAGTACCCATGGCTCTCGTAAGGAAGAACCACAAGTCGGCAAAGAGCCCCATGGCCTTTCAGTGCGTTGAAGAATCTGTCCGACTGTTATACAAAGGATATGAAATGAAAGTAGTTAGAACCAATGCAGAGATAATTGTTTTGGATTGGAATCTAATCCTTTCCGGTGATCTCTACTGAAGGTATAACCTGCATTGTTAGAGTTCCTGGGTTATTGTCTTCTTCACCATGGATGAGCAAGATTGGCTTCTTGATTTTATTAGCAGCCATGAATGGGCTCATCTCTACATAGACGTTAGTAGCTTCCCACAGTGTTCGGTCCTCGTTCTGAAATTTCCACGCATAGTTAAATGTTAACCCGAGATCAGTTAACATCTATCCGAATGCAGAGAATGAGACGAGAAAGAAAATGGTCATGGTGGCACCTGGAAACCAAAGGGTGTGAGTGTCCTGTTGTAAGCGCCAGATCGAGCTATTCCGCAGGAGAAAAGATGAGGAGCATGTGCAAGTAGATTCGCAGTCATAAACGCTCCATAGGAGTGTCCCCCAACAGCGATTTTGCTTGGATGGGCCACCTTGTAAAATGAGGGACCAAAAAATACTAAGCTTCCACACTTTCGTGGTTTATTCCAATAGCAAAATGATGGAATTGGGATCAAGCAATGCTTACTCCACGCCTGACGACTTCCTCTACAGCAGCCTCAGCACTTGTAACCAATTGCTCGACATACCTGAGAATGTTGTTTTTGTTGTTCACGTTAGAACCTGTCAAGCTCAAGCACATCTCAGATCTAAAACTTGAGTGGTTTGATGTCACTGGCATCCATTTAGTTAGTTTTGCTTATGCTAACAGGAAAATTATATTAAGAAAATGACACTGGTTTCCATGTTTCAGCTACCAGCTTGTCGAAAGTAGATATCATAGTACCTATCATTAGCCTCTTCATCACCTTCACCAATTATTGGTATAGTAGGTCCAGATAATATAGCGAACCTGCACAATGCAGAAGAATCCAAATGGTATAAGCCAACACTCAATCACCTAGCTCAACAAAATAGACTCCAGGACACTAGAACAGCCAAAAACAGTATCATGGCTAAACAAGCATAGAGATTGAAAAATGTTTGATACCTTCTAGCAAGCCAAAGAAGGGCAGAAGTTGAACCAATGCCTGCAAATTCATTCGGAGAGCCACGGACTTGACCAGCAGCATCTTTGCTCTTGAATTCACCAGGATAAGACCAAAACAGACAAGGCAGAGGACCGTCTTTTGATGGATCATAGCCTGGTGGTAGGTATAGTGTTGCAGTAAGTTGAACCCCGTCTTTTCGTTGATACCGGATCATCTCTTTCTGTAACGAAGCCAACTGGGGATACGGATGAGGGAAGTTTGTAATCTGTTGCACTTTCCTGTCAGGCCAAAGTTGGAGAGAATATTGGGTGTTCTCAGTTTTAGACTCCTTTGATGTCAGAATTTTAAGCTCCTCCATTTTCAAATCCCCTTCTTTCTGGTCAGACATCAAGGCCACAACCGTCTCAAAATACTTTTCTTTGTCGCTCTCCCAGATCCGTTCTTTGTTGCCTGTGTTTCTAAATAAATTTTGCACAAAACATTCCCAGTTTGTTAACACGTTATGGCAATAAAAACAAGAGAAAAAAACGCAAGAAAGAGAAGCCTTTGTCAGGTAGGCTTACATGTCAAACAAGTCAAGGAAGGGTACATTCCCTTGTGGTGTAGCCCCACTTCCGTTCAGTAAGACATTAGTGCCTTCATCATTTTCCTTCTTTATCTTGGCTATTACATACGTTCCAGCAGCGGTTCTCCTCAGCATGGTTGAGCCAGGGTCTGAGTATACATCTTCCGATGATCTATCAAACAATATGCGTGGACTGACATCGTTAGATCCAGGAGAGATAGCCCATGTCCTTGTCCGTCGTGTTTTATACCATGATTCATAAACGAGAGCCAATGTATCATCACACCAAGAAATGCCTCTGCAGATATAAAATCGGATCAATGTTAGGACATAGAAGGCCTCCATGAAGCTATTTTGTTTTTTTTTTTATAGAAGATAGCATTGATAATCTACGACTACAACATCTCCTGTGGTTTTAGTTTTTACCCATAGCGAAGATCAAGCTTGTGCAAAACTTCTGGTTCTTCTCCTGCTAGTGGTTCCGCAGACTGCATATAAACTATATCACGTGGTGAAACTTCCACTTTGGCATCACCCCCATCTTGTGTTTCAGCCCTACATATCTCAAGAGAGTTGTAAATAAATTATTTCCAAATCACATTTTGGAATCTGTATAGCGTGTGGCTATAATATTGGAGTCTCATATATTTACCAATAAAGGGTTGACGGCTTGTCTGCCCGCCAATTTATAGAACGCATTCCTTTGCGCACACTATTGGAGGCTATGGGGATATCTTCGGCTAGGGGCAAGTCACACAGCTGTCTTACAAATTTACCATCAGCTGTCCAGACTTCAACCTTCTTTGGAAATCTACCACAAGGTACAATGAAAGAATATGGCCTGTGAAGGGATGAAACTAACAAGTACTTATGGTCTGTCGAAGGGTCTAATGACGTATATACTGCAGGTAACCCAACTTCCTTCGCTGTACCATCCAAAGAAGCCAATACTAGTTGTGACGTGGCATAGTAGTCGAATAGATCAGCATCATATTCATCCTTAAGCAAATCCTGGAATGTTCTAACTTGTACAACATTCTTCTTCTCGTTTGACAGAGTTTTGGGACCAGACGGGACCAAAGGTTTCTTTGGTGGGTCTCCACGAGATGAAGGGATTGTGCTGACCAACAAAGTGGAATTATCAATCCAAACAAAACTCTCGAAAATCGCATTCAGATAAATATCTTGCGACTTGAAAAGTGGTCTAGCTTCTCCAGTCTCAACATCAGCTACCCATACTATAGGCTTACTACTATTTCCGTTCTCATCGACCCGGATGCTGAAAGCCAGATGCTTACCATCATTGGACCATGTAACAAAGTTAATCTTACCACCATCTGGAATGCCAGTGATCTCCTTCTCTGGACTCAATGTACCATCAGGCAATAACTGATGAATTCCTAAACCAGTATAGAATGACATCCTGCTTCTGGTATTGCAATATCCATCAATTCGAACACCTGCAAGCTTCTCCTCTGGTCTGGCCAAATCTGCCAACGGAGGCAAAGCTCTCCGCTTGAGAAACAAGATCTTATCCCTATGCGGTGAAAATGACAAGGCCGGGACTGGTGGGGCATCGACAATATCTCTGATCTCAGGTGGAGGGAGACGATATCCAGTGCCTAAAGCCAAATCTACATAATTCAAACATCAAAACCATTTACGTAAGCACACACGTCTCTCTGACTACACAGAGTCACATTAGCTAGCATCGAACGAATTTGGAAAGGCATCGTTGTTTCCCAACGACAAAACGGTGAAAAGCGATTTTCTACAGATAAGAGCTCGAATTCAGTGGAACGTAACAACACTAACTATACAAATTCAAATCCAATTTTCATCAACACAATCGAACTTTTCCGTATCATTTGAATCCAGCAAAATCGGCGGAAATGAAAAAATTACCATCATCTTCAGTTGCCGCAGCGGAGGCTGAAATTGAGCCATTAGAGCTGCTACCACCACCGTCTTCTGCACCTTCGGGACATACAGATGCGAGGCAGCGAAGTCTAGAAGCAGAACGTGAAGACATGACAGTGGTCAGCGAGTTTCCGGAGGATCTGCGAACTTTTGAGTAACGATGCGTACGCAGCGTCGAGAATCCGGAAAACTTGGGAGGTAGAAGGAGAGAAGCAGACGGCGGAGACGGCGGAGATAAATGGCAGAGAGGTGAAAGAGAGAAACGATGACAAGCTCTGTGAAAGCGCATCATTTTTATTCTGACTTTTTTTAGCCTTTTTAAAGTGTGATGATGATTCCCTTAGTCTATTCGACGGCTGTATTGTATTGTATTGTATCCAATAAAAATAATTAACATGAAAAATCAGCAAAATATCAGCAACGCGTTATACAATACGGTCGAGTGCACCATATCTTCGTGAACGTCACTGCTTTTGTGGGCCTTAGCTATGACCCAACTTGCGGTTCTTTTCTTTAATATGGCCCAGCAAAAGTCCTCCGATTCCCTCAACACCCAACAGTTACAAAATGAAAAAAAAAAGCATCTATTTTTTTCATGAATTTTTGTATAAATTATAGTTTTTCGCATTCTTATAAACATATTTTTGACTAATATACTGTAATTTTAAAAACTGTAAGTGATTTATTTTAACATTTTTACGTAAAATTTTAAAACCCTGTAAATAATATACGAAACAAATTTGAGCTGTACATTTGGTTTGACAATAAATGTCTCTTCAGAGCATACCTTTCGATAAAGTTTTGTCCATTTTGTTTTTATGTAGGCTTTCCAACTTTTTTTCATAAAATGTGTTACGTCTGAAAATTTTGCGTGAAAAAGAACTAATATGCGAAAAAGAAAATACTTATGTATGTATTCTCAGTTTGGTGGAAATGAATATTTTTTTAAAAAAAATATTATCTAAAAACCACGCGGCTCAATATGCTTGGTTGTTAGGAGATAAGAGGATCGTGTTCACAGAGTTCAATATTAAGAAGCAGTATTTATCTTCTTCTTCTCCTTTAACGTCAAAAAAAATCTCTCCTCCATCAAAATCCTCCAACGATGACAACCATAGCTGCAAGCGGTCTCAACGTCGCGACTCCGCGAGCGGTGGTTCGACCTGCGGCTCGCCTATCCGCCCCGGTCCGTTTGAATTACCCGTGGAGATTCGGTTCTATGAACCGGATGGTTATGGTTAAGCCGATTAAGGCGACATCAGAAGGAGGGATATCGGATAAGGTGGAGAAGAGTATACAGGAAGCGAAGGAGACATGCGCCGACGATCCGGTGAGCGGCGAGTGTGTGGCGGCGTGGGACGAGGTGGAGGAGCTGAGTGCGGCGGCGAGTCACGCTAGGGACAAGAAGAAAGCTGGTGGATCCGATCCTTTGGAAGAATACTGCAGTGATAATCCTGAGACTGATGAGTGTCGCACTTATGATAATTAATTGAAAGTGTTTTTGATGTTTGATAATATATTAAAATTGAAAAATTAGGTACGGTCAGAATCAGATCGATCTTTCTTCTTCTTCTTGCTGTTATTGTTGTTGTTGTTGTCCTCGTACGTGTTTGGTTTGGTTTCTTTGGTGCTTGTAATGTGATAATGAATATGATGAATAGTACACTACACAAGAGGTGTTTCATAGATCTCTACGTATTTTTTTCCAATTAAATTTGATTACTAATTACCTTCTGTATCTATGGAACTGATAAAATCTTAATTGCGTGTTTTCTGGATTTGAGTGGGTGATGATATTAGGTATTTTCATTTGCTTTTGCATATGTTTTTTTTTTCTTTTTAAACGTGGTTGATAATCAACACGTTTGGAGAGTGATGTGTCAAAATCAAAATGATGTGGAACGAGTTTATTGATCAGTGTTTTATATACCATGTAAAGTAGAACGATGAAATATTGGTCTAAATCGGGCGTGGAAGCAATCAAAAGTTATCCAAGATATTGTGCATACATGTATCATATGTCATAACACATCGGACATATATTGCATTTGACGATAAGAAATTTCGGTTTTAGCTGCGGAATGCGGGGGTTTTAGTTGGATTTCACTTTTATGGATGATGGGTGCTTTTCTATGTTCGATCATGTATTTTGATATATCTTTTTCAAAAATATAAAAGCAAGTACAACTGTATATGATGTAAAAAAACCTAAATATGTATAAACGCATTTTTTTTCTTTTCCTATTGGTTGATTTATATATATATATATATATTTTTTTTTTGACATCATATTGGTTGTTTTATATTGATGCTAATGATTTATGCTCTCTGTAGAGCATTTAATGGGCTGCACAAATATATTGGGCAAGCTTAAACATGGGCCGATATATCAAGCGGCATATAGAACATGTTTATGGCCACCTCACGGTCTTAACTCCTAAGAAACAGTAACATAATGAACAAGAAAGGCAAATTGCAATGTAATTGTACTAAATTGAATTTGAAAACCGACATGTAGCAAATATTTATAATATAAAAAAAATCGTGAGAGCTATGACCTTTAGCGGAATGGATCAAAATCCGTCCACCTATAAATTGTATTTTTTTTTTTATTTTTTTTAAAGGAGTATGTACTTATTTCATGCTTATGTGTGTGTGTATATGCAATTTTGAATTCCTCCACTTATATTTTTGGCGGTAAGAACTGGAGATTTTTAACAGGAAAATGCATCGACGCGTATCTGTATTTACCAGTTATAAAACCTGATGGTAAGTATATGAATGAATACAATCGAAATTAAGCTGACTTCATTTCTTTCTTTTTTTTGGCTCGGCCGCCAATAATTACGAAAAGCCATTTATACCCTTACAAGTTTCAGGCGGATTAAGAAGATGTCACAGCATGTAGGGGTGTATCTGTCTTCTTACACATACGTAACCGAGTTTCTTTTTTTCTCCTCATTAAAAAACTCTTTCTATTGTTCGCTTCTATACTCTCTAAAAATAAAAATTGTAGCTTCCAAATTTTCCATCACACAGAAAAATCTCAGCGGTAAAAAAAAAAGAAAAGAAAAAAAAAGCGTCACTGGTCTTTGTTACCTTCTTCCTTGTTCGCTCGACCCTGGCGATGTCGTACCAGGAGACGCAGACAACTCGCAGAATGTAACGTTGTTACTGCTTGTCTCTCGTTTTGACGACATCGGAATCATTCGAATTCGCTCTTCATCTCTCTCGTTTTTCTCCTTCAAACCTGCTTCAAATCGTTCAACGAGGATTCGATATTCATTTCCCTATCCACTCGTCAAGTGCTGGGTAGCTGTATGTCTCTCGACCGAACTAAACCCTAGCTTGTACGTAGCTCTTCCTGCGCTTCTCCCTTCTCTTTTTAGATGCGGAATTGAGAGTTTTTAGTTAAATTTCATTTTTATGTATGATGGATGCTTTTCTATGTAATTCGATCTTAGGGCTTTTGATTCCGAAATATCTCGTTCAAATCGCATTGAGCTTAGTGATGAATGCGTTAAAGGAACGTTTAGGATTATGTCTCAATCCTTTCCGATCCACTTTCTTATGATATTTAATGAAGTGAATCAACTTTCTTTTGTGGATTTCTTTCCTTCTTTCAGTCGCTGGGTTAGGGGAAGCTCTCGTTCAGGTGTCGTTTAAGGGTCTATTTCAATACATTGATACATGATGGTCATCTCCTGTGTAGGACGAACAGATACCACTACCTCAGATTCCAATTAGAATGAGATCTCTTGAAGCTTGAATATATCATCTGTGTATCCGTGGTCGTTGCTACTCTAGAAGTGGGCTAGTATATTTTCTTTAGTTCACGCTCCAGTTTAGTAAAATATATTTTTTGCTTTGGCAGTGGCGTTTAGTTGACGACTGCGTCTCCTCCAAAGGCCGAGTTAGCATGGAGTGGATCCACAAATCTTTTCCTTGTATGGAAACTTCGAATTTGGCAAACGCAGTTCAAGTAAATGTTCCTCTTCAGCGAGAGGAGAGACTTGTTTGCCATTCTTCGCTAACCGATGTAGATATAGACCTTAGAGAAGTCTATTTCCTGATTTTACATTTTCTTTCTACCGGCCCATGTGAACGAACCTTTGGGCACCTGAGAGATGAAATCTTGGAAAAAGGGCTTTTGCCCCGTAGATATCATTCTTGGTGGTCAAGAAGTGGCACTTGCAGTGGGCGTGCTGACGATGATGGCATCTCGCTCCCATTGAACTATGATAAGTTGGTAGAGAGGTATAGTTTTCTTCGTAATTACTCCGCTCTTTCATCGTTCAGTTACTATGGAAGCCTCGCCATAGCTTATTGAATTTGAATATTTCATACTATGGTAAACCACCTTCCTAATTGTGCTATATTTCTGTCGTCATGTTTATTTTACTGACAGATATCCTCATATTGAAAAGGATCACCTGGTGAAGCTTCTCAAGCAACTAATTTTAAACCCACCTTTTCCTTCACACATGAGAGTTGAAGGAAATACTCCTAATGCTGCTGATGTTCCAACTCTACTAGGATCTGGCACCTTTTCACTTGTGGATTGTACGTAGTAACTCCTATCCATCTACTTATTTTGTGTGCCTTGGGTTTCAAAAGCTCATTCATGAAGATAAAATCAAAAAATCAAAAGACATGGTACTTTGTCGAAATGATGTTTGGAAAGCAGGATATTTTCTTTTTTACTTTTGCATGCTATTCAGTTGATTTTTTTCAAACCACATTGTTTCTAGAATGGATCGCTTGCCTTAGCGGCAAGATGTTCCCCGTGTCTTTGGATTTGAAACTTGGAAAGAGTCACATGAATGCATAAAACCTGGTAGTGCCTTTAGGACTGTGCCTATTGAAAACTTTTTCCTTCAGGTTTTGATAATCTTTCCTTGGTAACATGACTTGTGTTTGGATTTCTGCTGACTAAGTCTATCTTCAGGGATTTGATTTTTTTTTTTTCGATTTGAAGATAAAAAAATGGAGTCTCAGAAAGCGAGACACGTCGCGCCATACTTACGCTGGCCGCATATGCATGCCGATCAAGTGCGTGGCCTAAGTCTCAGAGAAATTGGAGGAGGTTTCAGAAAACACCACCGTGCTCCGTCCATTCTTTCAGCATGTCATGCTATTGCAAAACCATCAACAATGGTTCAAAAGATGCAAAATATAAAGAAGCTGAGAGGACATCGTAATGCTGTTTACTGCGGTAAGATCCTCAACTATACATCCGTTGTGCTGGATCTCTGCTCTGTGGGCATTCCATACTTTGTTTTGTCTCATGTGCAACCTTAGAATTTATACCTATCTGATTATAGTATCTGGAAGTCATAATGCAGTATGTCCATCATGGTAACAGTATGGCCTTTTTTTTGCGCAGCTATTTTTGATCGTTCTGGAAGATACGTTATCACTGGTTCAGATGACCGACTTGTCAAAATTTGGTCAATGGAAACTGCACTTTGCTTGGCTAGCTGCCGCGGTCATGAAGTGAGCTATTGTTTCCATATTTGTTAGACATATATTGTTGACTAGTCTATTAAAATTTGTTCTCGCCTATGCATGTTTCCTGTAGGGTGACATTACAGACTTGGCCGTTAGTTCAAACAATGCTTTGGTGGCATCAGCTTCAAACGATTTTGTGATTCGAGTGGTAAGAATACAATTCCCAGTCTTTAATGTGTTGACACTTTTTATTTATTTGTCTGTTAGATGGTATTGTTTCTTATGGCAGTGGAGGTTGCCTGATGGAATGCCAATTTCTGTATTGCGGGGACATACTGGAGCTGTTACTGCGATTGCATTCAGTCCCAGACAGGCGTCTGTTTACCAACTTTTATCGTGAGTTCTGTTCAATATGTTTCTACTTTAAATAGTTCATTTCGGAATTGTTATTTATCTGTTCAAGACCACCCCCTAAATATATAGTTTGTATGTTTCATACTGCTTCCTGCACTGGTAATTAGTTATTTGTGCTTTATTTTTTTATCTGTAGGTCATCCGATGATGGAACCTGTCGTATCTGGGATGCTAGGTACTCTCAATGGCTTCCACGAATCTATGTTCCAAGTCCATCGGATGCAGGCACTGGTAAGAAAGTGGCACAGCATTGTATTTTGTTCAATATTAAATCTGTTTGGGTTATACAACTCATTGGAAGTTTCTCTTAGGAAAAAGCAATTTTACATCTTCTAACGCGGCATCTACGAGCAATACATCTCAGAGTCACCAAATACTGTGTTGTGCGTACAATGCTAATGGAACAATTTTTGTCACTGGTAGCTCTGACAGCAATGCGAGGGTCTGTGTTAAAATCTCAACTTTAATTATCCTCCTTGGTAATGCAGAAACTGCGGAGATTTTGTTTGGTTTTAGTTTGCTTGTTAGTCTTGATTGTCAGTATTTCCATAATCTGCAGGTTTGGAGTGCCTCAAAACCGAACTTGGATGATGCTGAACAGCCGACTCATGAGCTGGATGTTCTACGTGGCCATGAGAATGATGTCAACTATGTGCAGTTTAGGTATTTTTTAGCGAACATGGTGGCTTTCTTAGATTGCATATTATTGGTTAGAAGAACATAAAAATAATAGAAAAGGTTTCTTTTTTTCTTTTTCTTTATAGTGGTTGTGCTGTGGCTCCAAAATCTTCACCGGCTGATACTCTGAAGGAAGATAGTTACCC